CGACTGGAGTGGGGGGCGCTGAGCCTGTGGCGGCCTTCGTTAGGGGCCACCGAGCCATGGTAAGACTGGCAGCTGAGGTCCCGGTTCTGTTCTGACTCGCCCCGTTTCCCCGCTCAGCTGGAGCCCAGGGAGTTTTGTCCTACCTGGGTGTTTGCACACAGCTGGGGGTGCCGCTGAGCATCCTTTGACTCACCTGGACCAGCCGAAGAGGGGTGGAGCGGCACAGGAAAAGGCCATTATCCAGGTAAAAGCGATGCCCATCATGGCATGGGTTGCAGAGAAGCGGAAGTTTCCCATGGGTTTGCAGACGACGATGTAGCGCTCTATGGCCAAGACGACCAGGGACCACAGGGCGACTTGGCCTGCGGGAGGGAGAGAGAGAAGGTATGGTGGTGGGCTTGATCTTCCCTTCGTGGTCTTGTGGTCACAGCGAAGAACCGAGGGGACCGAGGCGTTGGGATCAGCAAGGGATAACCGGCATCCTATTGAATAACTGAGAATCTCCTGGCTGTAACGTGCAGGAGGTCTGGGAGCGTCGAGCGTCTGTGCTGCAGCGGGATGCTGGCGACGGAGGAGGGGATCGTGATGGGTTTTAATCATTTAAAAATCAAGGGGGTGAATTCCACCTGGGTGAGAGGAAGCACGATTTCCGGCAAAGATGCCAGATGTGTCCAAACCTGTTGATGCCTTTAAATGTGTATTTCATGAGTCTTCCGCCAGTGCTGGATCGGGGGGGGCGTACGGGGGAGGCTGTGTGGGTGGGCATGCGTGCACATGTATTTATAAGGGATAATTAAACTTCAGGGGATTGGGAGCGTTTAGTCGGTGCTGTAAGCCTGCTAATGCCCCCAGCTGTGATAATCTGCTGATAACTACACCCTGTGCTAGGATTCACTGGAGACCTGCTGCTCGCACGGTGACTGCTTCCCTTCAAACTTTCTTCCCTGTGAACAGGAGCCGCCTTGGTCTTTCCTAGATACAGCCATCGAACGACAAGTTCTGCTGCCTGCAAGCCTGCAGGCTCACTCGGTCAGAAACGGTGCAGACCCACAGGATCTTCTGACCCTGAGACCAAGCCCGTCCTTGGCTTGGATCAGGACATTCAGCTTTGCTTTTGCCTGGCAGAATATCCATATCTCTTTTTTTTTTTTTTTTTTAGATCAGCATCGTTGCAGGAAATTGCCCCATTTAGGGGAAAAAAAAAAGAAAAAATGAAGTCCTTGCAGTGGTTATAGATCTCTGCAGCAAGGATTAGCGGTTGTCAGATCCATCACGAGGTGTCGTGTGGGCCCGGCTGGCTGCGTGGGCACAGGGTGCAAAATGAATTTTCCCTGTTTTGCACGGGGGCTTTCTGCAGGGCGAAGTGTTAGCGGCTCTCATGTCCCTGAGAAATGAAATAAGGAAGCTCCCAAGGGCACCCAAATCGGGAGCAACTGGGACAAGAGCTGAGAAGTTGCCGCAAAGCCTGGGCCTGGTTTCCCTGGCTCTGCGCAAATCCGAATCCTCCTTCCCCTCCGCACTGCTGCTCTTCTGGTCGAGAGCTGCCACATCTTCCTTTTGCCCCTACATAAGCTGTGAGCCCTCTCCTCGCCACCTCCTCTCCATGCCCGTACCCCTTCTGCAGGGTCCCTCTCCCAAGGGATGCCTCTTTCCCCCCGAACCCTCCCCAATGCTTCACCTTCTCCCAAGAAAAGGCTTTTAGCAAAGATGCTTGACATTGATTCAAGGACGTGACGTGGCCATCCCCAGCAGGTCTCTGATGGCCGCGAACCCCCTGAACGCACGCCGGGCAGCGTGCCCAGATGGCCCCAGGTTTGATCCTGCAAACGGGGATCCCGTGGTTCATTTCCTTGCAGCTGCCCAGCTCGCCATGAGATGGGCGCTTCTTGGTATCAAGATCAAACTTGCATAAATCTCTGGTTTCGTCCCCGTCTTTAAGCCGCGGGGCAGCAGCGCCTTGCATGGCGAGCTCTGCCCCGTGCAACGAGCTGTGCCACCGCAGCAGCGTGAGATGGCTTTCTGCACAGCAGGGATGCCACGGGCATTGCAGCACGATGAAGGAGTGGAGCTGGGCTCCTAAAGCCCTGAAGAAGCGAGGTCCAAGCACCCGCCCCACAGCCCTTACCTCCCAGCGTGGCGAAGAAGCCCTCCACGGCACAGCCCACGGGTCCGAAGACGAAGTAGCCGTTCCAGGCGGTGTAGAAGGTGACCGTGAAACCAAAACAGGCCATGACGAGGTCAGCCACCGCCAGGTTGACCAAGATGTAGTTGAGCGGCTGCCGGAGCTTCTTGTGTTTGAAGGTGACCAGGAGGGTGAGGAGGTTGATGGGCAAACCGGTGGAGATGAGGAAGAAGATGTAGCAGCACACAACGCGGTATTTCCAGGGCTCGGCTAGGTAATATTGGGGGTACTCGAAGGGGCTTCGCACCACCCCTGTCTTGTTGGACATAGGCACGTAAAAATTGATACCTTCCGTCCCATTCATCCTGCCAATGCTACGGCAGCTGCTTTTTGCTTTTAAGTTGATGGGGTTTTTTTAAATGAAATCTCTGGTTTTGTAATTAATTTTGCTTCAACCCAAATTAAAAAAAAAAAAAAAGGAAGCCCTACCCCCCAATGTGGAAAAAAATACCCAGCTAAAGGCTCCCCCCTCAAAAAAATGAATGAATTAATAAGAACAACAGTACATTCCGAGGGGACGGGAGGTGGTGCGCTGCCCCTGCTCCGCGCCGAGGGCTGGTGGTGCCCCCGTTTTATACCCTTCGGCCTCCTCGAGGGAGCGCGGGGGGAGGCCGGATTAGGGGCTCGGCTAACTTTGTATGACAAGGGCAACGGGATTGAGAGGGGTTGATGGTTTAAGCACCCTCTAAGCAGCCAGTTGGCCCCAAAACCTGCATTAAAGCGTATTAATTAAGTGTTTAATATTGTTTAAGGAGTTGGGGGGAGGAAGGGATGGGGTGGGGAGCCCTTTGGAAGAGGGGAAAGGCAGGAGGAGCGGCGGGGAGCTGGGGAGCGGCTGCTTCGGGTGATTGATGGGGAGATG